TACGTGCAAGATACGCCAAGTGGCCGGCAGTTGGTTTGTCGTGAAGCTCATGCAGGAACACTGAACGTAATGGTTAGGCACGGCTAGAAGTAGCTCAGGGCCATCTGGCTGGACGCTACGACACTACAGCGTGCCATTTGGGAGAACGAACATGCGTAGTGACACGTCGTTAGGATCAGATTCCAGACGGCCAATGAGTGACCGCAAGGAAAGATCGCAACGCTGTTAGTCTCCAATCTGACGAAACCTAGACATGGACATGACTCTGCAGAAGCAAGGCTCGCCGACTGATTCATCTGGTTGGTCAACAGGGTACCGTGACAAGCAATCGGCGTCCAGATGGAGGCATCCAGACTTGTAGGCAACTGAGTAGGAGTACTCCTGAAGACGCAACGCCCGACTACCAAGTCATACAGAACGGTCCTTCAGTGAAAAAGCCAGCAGAGGGCGTGATGATCGGTGACGACAAGGAACGGGCAGCCATACAAACAAGGATGAAATTTCGAAACCGCCCAGACAAGGGCAAGACATTCTCGTCCTGTTATAGAGTTGTTACGCTCAGGCTTTGAAAGTAGACGACTTGCATATGCAATTACATGGTGAGTGCCCCACTTAGTTTGGGCCAAAACTGCGCCGATTCCGTGACCGCCAGCGTCTGTGCGCACCTCTGTAGGAGCATCTGGGTCGATATGTGCAAGTATCGGTGGTGTCGTTAGAGTGGTGATTAGTCGAGAGAAAGCGTTAGCTTGAAGAGGACCGCTACAAAATGAGACGTCATGTTTGAGAAGGTCTGTGAGTGGGCGGGCGAGTGCCGCTAAGTCTTTCAGGGACCGGTGAAAGCAAGAGCATGGGCCCACGAAATCGCGAACATCATGGATAGAGCGTGGAACAGGAAATTCGTTACTGCGCGTACTTTAGCCGGGTCTGGTCGTACACCGGAAGCATCAACAAGGTGGCCCAACACAGTAATTTGACGAAGACCAAAGCGGCACTTCGACGAATTCAGCTAGAGGCCGGCAGGTCGGTATGTTGATAGAATTGTGCAAAGGCGTTCAAGGTGTGTGGCGAAAGTGGCTGAGAAGATTATCATGTCATCTAAGTAACACAAGCACTTCATAGGCGTACTTCAGCATTAGTCACTGGACACGCTTACGGAAGACCGAGATTAGCAAACTCCTGCCTTACCACACCTTACCATAGCTTGAATAAAGCTATCGATGGGAGTGATGGGTCACTGGCTTGAGTTGTGAAAAACCGGCTGTTGAATGGGAGCTGGACAGACAGCTTAAAGCTTCCGACGAGCAAGTCTGCTTACGCGGTCATAGGAGGGTGGTTGGCGAATGGATTCACACGATGAAGTTGCGGCCAGTGTTGGGCAGTCGTGTGAATCTCAGCTTGATATGGCAGCTCTTGGCGTGTTCAAACCACCGGCAATCTTTGATGAGTTCATCGATGGTGATGACTTTAGTGTATACAAGCAGAATGAAGGCGTCGTCGGCGATGCCTTTGAGCACATTCGATACCTTCTCAGGCTCGGGCATGTTTTCGTCAACCTAGCGGTAAAGGGTGATGACATCATGAATATACGCGACGTAGGATTCAGTAGACGTCTGTGCCCGAGTAGCCAACTGATTTCGCGCAGTTATCTGTCGTGGAGCGGGTTCCCAAAAAGGTCATGAATCTTCTCCTTGAAAGTGTCCCAGCTGGTGATTTCGACTTCGTGCGTCTCGAACCACACCCGTGGAGGGCCAGCAAGGTAAAAAAGCTCGTTGGCAAGCATGAGTGTCTGGTCCCTCCTAATGCTGGCGCTGATTCGTTCATACTTGTTGAGCCACTAGTCAACTTCAAGGCCATCCTGTCCGGAAAAATACGCCAGGATCACGAGCAGTAGGTAGGACAACGTAGATAGGAGTCACAGAAGAGGTGCACTCTAAGGCAAAATTACCCGAAAAAGTAGCTAACGGAGCTCAATAGGCGCGTGCAATTAACGGATAGACCATTGAGGAGCAACCACAGAGGGAAGCGTGCCGCGCGAAACCAAGGGATGAACCACCCGGGCATTGCAGGCTGCGCGAAAAGCGTTGCCAAGGTGCCCAGCCCTCCTCCTCCCTTCTTCTCCTTAGCTGGCTCTGTCTTTCCCCGTATTTTGCCGGGGACGGTTGGTGTGTTGCGTCGCGCTCGGAGTGCTCGACCACGTCCGCCTGTATTCGACGATCTAAAGATTACGACGTGGTGCTTGTGTGTACGCTTGGATGAGCGTGGGCTGCTGCTGTTGCGTATCGCTGCACCCATGAAGTCTGGAGCAAGTCTCGACACGTCACCACGCCGCTTTGTATATCTCTGGCTTCAAGATAGTCCCGACCAGCACACGACAGCAACAATTGGGAAGGTCCAATATGGCTGACCAGAGAACACAATAGGCCTATGGGATATATACTTCAGTCCGACTCGGGGCTGAAAACGGCGCTGGATTCTAAGGCAAGTAGGTTATCATTCTTTTTTCTACTCTATTTGTCGCGTGTGCGATACGGATCGTGCTTGTCGGCAACGGGTTCGGTCGTGTTGTCTATCGCACGCACGAAATGCATCGCGGTCAGCTTCGGCATCTGCAGATCGCCTGCGCTTTGCGACAGCCTGGAAATCGGCCGCCATTGCCGTCGGCCTCCCGCACGCTCGCTCATCGAGTGCTCGCCTGTCTTCGCCACCGCGATGAGCTCTGGGCTGACGATATCGGGCTGAGTCCTCGTCGCTGTGTTGAGAGTCGTCGAAAACACGTTGCGGGTTCTCGTAAAGAGCTTGGTTGTAGTATGTCGCGCGCTCTAAGTGCACCTAAACGGGCTGGCGGGGCTTTCGCTAGCGTCGGAACTCACTAAAAATTGGTCGCCATTACAGTTTGCTTTCCCGTCAGCCGGTCGCTAGCAGCTCGGCCGGCTCGGCACCGTCTGTTGGCCGCGGCGACGGACCCACGTTTGCGCGCTACACTCGCTCGAGTTTGTGGAAAAGGGCCGCATTACCGTCGATTTCTTCGGCGCTAGCTCTAAACCAGCTCGGCGCTGTTCGTGGTACGCTCGTTCTCCTGTTCGAAGTTCGAAGCGTATGCTCGTTCTCCTGTTCGAAGTTCGCTGGCCGCAGACACTCCGCGCGCAGCGCCATAATTGGTCTCGCGTTCGCTTGCTCGAGCTCAACGACGTCGCTCGCTTAAGACTCGCCGACTTGTTAGCGGCATGGTGGTTCGCGGAGATGTGGCTTCAGCCGCCGCTTCTAAGCTGTTGCGCTACTAGGATCGAAATGAGTCTTTGACGATGTGTGACATCACGGTGAAATTATTAGCATGTCATATATCACGTATGTTTTCATGTCACCTTGCACGTATTTCTCATATGCATTTGCAAGCATCCTCTGTCACGTGTGACTCACTACTTTATATACTTATTGTGCAGCCGTCGGCACACACCGTGCTGAAGACTGTGTGCGCTGGCAATCTGTATGCCTGACATCTATCTCTCGTCAGAGCAGCTTCAGAAGGACTGTGTGACATGTAAAGGTAAAGTTATTTGTGTGTCATATTTCAACGCTTGTTTTTATTATCGTGCACGTACTTCTCATATGCGTGCATCTTTATCTCCTGTCGCGTGTGTCTAACTATTTTCACTATCTTATGTACGTACAGCCGTGGGAACACAACAGGCAGAAGGCTGCGTGCGCTGGCGTCTGCAATGCCTGTCATCTATCGCTTCCGTCGGAGGAGCTACCCAAGCAGTGAACAAGATTTTACAACGAGACGGGACTTGTACACTTCACCATGAATTCACTTAAAAGAATGGAGAAACTTTGTGTATGTAGAAAAATAAAAGATTTCCATGTCTCACTTTTGTCTTTCGTTGTTGCCGGTCACATATAGGTGGCTAACTACTTTTCCGCGTGTTTTCTGCGCAATTTGTTGCTCACTGCGCGGAAAAACAGGCGAAAAAAGTATTAGGACTGGCGGAGAAAAAAGAAAAAACAATGTTTGAACTGGGGACAAAAAGTTCACCCGATCGGAGTATTTGAGTGGATGAACCGTTCGTCCGGCAAGGTGCAACTGTGAGGACTAACGATTGCCCGGTAAGGTGTAATTCTAGGGATTAACAGTTGCTCTATAAGGTGCAAATATGAGGACTAAGTGTTAGTTCCTGGGGGTGAACTGTGGAACTAACGGTTACTCACTAAGGTGTAAATGTGTGGACTAACTGTTAGACCCGGTGCCGTTAGTCCTTAAAGCTACTAATGGTTGTGGCAGCCCCATTAGTCCCCAAAAGGACGAACCATACACCCTTTTAACACCCTTTTACCTTATAGTGCGGGTGGTGAAGACGATGATCATTGAACTAGTTACATAGGAGGACCCGTGATGATGCGGCCGTTGCGGAGCTTCATGATGGGTACTGGGAAGGACGAGCACGTACACCACAAATATGCTACGTAACATGAGACGGAACGTGACTATTCGCCAGTGTATTTACACCGATTAAATCGGAGCGCAGCAAGCAGAGCGAGCAAACCAGTTCTCTTCGTCGTCGTCAAAAGAATGGTTCACCCTTCATGCGATAGCTACGTAGCAATATTAGAGTTTAAATCAACAAGAGGAAATGGACGTGGGCTGGGTATATATCGCGTAGAGAGGATCACCGTTGGTCATTAAGGATAAGTAACTGGATTCCCAGAGAAGGCAAGTGGGTTGAGGGGAGACAGAAAGGTGGGCAGATAAGATTAAGAAGTTTGCGGGTATAAAATGGCAGCAGCAAGTACAGGACCGAGTTGACTGGTGGAACATGGGAGAGGCCTTTGTCCTGCAGTATGCGTAGTCAGGCTGATGATGATGATGATGTTAAAATGTTTGCAGATAACAGTCCCAAAAAAATAAATGGCACAGAGCAGGCGCTATGCTAATTTATACAAACACGTTCTGTGTAAACAGTATGTGTCCATCGCAGCAACAAATATAAAAAATGCATACTCACTCGTGCTTCTGTTGGGAAATGAAAAGAAAAAGGCCATTCAGAGGAATGAGTTGTAAGCGGCTCTGTTAACTATACACTTACACCACCTATCGAATGTTCAAGAAACCTCCACAATAATAATAAACATTTCACGAAAGTATATATATCTCCAGAACAATCACCAGCTGAAACGTCATTAATCCAAACAGTTAGCATATCAATAAACTATATGAGTTTTCACACAGCAGGCTACGTATTTTAATCTCTTAGATGGTTTGTTCGGGAAGAAATCAGCTAAAGAGAGGTCGTTTTTTTATTCTTGGTATAGGAGTATATAAAAATTTGAGGAGGGCGAAACAAATCGTGAAAACACTATAGAAAAGAAAGTCTACCAGAATGTCATGCACTTTTGTTAAGGTCACGTTCGCACTACCGATCACAATTTGTTTTACACAAAACTCAACCACAATCAATGTTCATCACCAACGCTCACCAATGCATTACGAGCCTGCAAAAAAAAACGGTACAGAAGATGTTTGTTGTGCAAATGACTACCAGTTTAGTATTCAAATAAATTCCAAACAATTTTCATATTGCAAAGAGGCCCTTTTCTAAGTTCCCCGTTTTTCCCGTCCCACGACACTCATCAAGATTCAGGAACATCTGAGGTTCCGAAAGAACCGACGTCTGTTCGCAGCTAGCATGCGCGAAGGAGGCGCCGAACCGAATGTTTGAGGGACACCGTCACTCACATGCACTCAGTGAACATTTCTTAAGCGTAGGCATATAACGCGGACGTTCACGATTGTGGCTACAAGCCCTTGCTCAAAAACGTTTTCATTTTATTTGAGGGGTATAGTAGATAACGAGAAAAATTGTGGAGGCCTACGTGAAAGTGACAGTGTAAAAATATGTGCGTTTTCCGAACTTCCTTTTCAATTTTCCAACGTTGCAATATCTTGCTTTGTTGCGGTACCACAATTTTTGCGATGTCGTGAGAGTAATCTGTACGCGGGCACGTTTGAACGATATCACCCATCAAATGTTTGCTGTTTCTGTTGTTGTCGCTCTCTCTCTCTCTCTCTCTCTCTCTATATATATATATATATATATATATATATATATATATATATATACATATATTGATACGCAACAGCCGGCACAGCCTGTCTGGAAGAAAGAGAAAGACGACGTTGGTGGCTGGTTGTTTATGAACTGTCGCCATCTTGTTCGCCGAGCACAGTGCATCGCATTTAATTTATTAAATAAGTTACCCGTAACATTATTGGTGGAGGTGGACGACTCCCGTACCTCGATGGAGACGCCCAGCGGTCGCAACACCGGGGACTCTTCGGCTACTTCAACTGCCAGTGCCTCATCCCCACCAGTCTCTCGATCCGAGTCGACAACCTACGTCACCCTGCCACCCCTGCGGGATCCTGGAACTTTCTCCGCTGACGGCACCATCGACGTTGACTCCTGGCTGCACCGGTACGAGCGAGTCAGTGCTACCCATCGCTGGGATCCCACACTCATGCTCGCCAACGTTGTGTTCTACCTCGACGGCACGCCGCGGACATGGTTCGAAACCAACGAAGCCGAAATCACAAGCTGGGATCTTTTCAAATCGAAGATCCGTGATCTTTTCGGCGATTCATCTGGTCGTCAGCTCGCTGCCAAGAAGACTCTCGCCACTCGCGCCCAGACGTCTACTGAATCGTATGTCTCATACATTCTTGACGTCTTGGAGCTTTGTAGCAAGGTCGACCAGCGCATGTCAGAAGAAGAAAAAGTTAACCATGTCCTCAAAGGGATTGCTGACGATGCCTTCAACCTGCTGGTTTTTAATAATGTCACGAGAATCGACACGATCCTGACAGAGTGCGCCGTCTAGAACAGGCTAAAGCCCGCCGCGTCACCCACGGCATCACGCGCCTGCCGAACACAGCTGCTACTTCCTCTTGTGATGACTCCGTCCGCCCAGTTCCCCGATGTGACAACCTCACCCGCATCATTCGTCGTGAGGTCGAGGCAGCCCAACCAGTAGCTACTCCATTTCCAACGCCTGATCCTTCACCGACCACTATCTCACTGATACAAGCCGTCGTTCGTCAAGAATTATCGAACGTCGGCCTACACCCCATTCAACCAGTCTACTCTGCCGAGCCTTTTTATCGTCGTCCATCCGCTCCTCGATTTGGGTCCAACTACTCTCGACAGCGCAATTTGTCCGAATGGCGTACACTGGACGACAAGCCCATATGCTTCAACTGCCGACGTGTCGGTCACATTGCTCGCCACTGCCGCAATCACTGGGCTCCGCCGGCACGCTATGGGCCTCCTACCCAAGCCCCTTCTGACCACCAGTCGTCCTCAACATTTGATTTTGGTTCCCCTATGCCGACCACATCCTCCGATTCTGCCGCACCTCTGACGAGACCTCGCTACGCCCGCTCACCATCCCCTGCTCGCCGTCAATCTCGTTCGCCCCCACAACGCCGTCCTGCCTCTCCGACCTATTCGCAGCGCCCCCGACCGGAAAACTAGGCAGTGCAGCTTCTGGAGGTGAAGCTGCATTGACGACGACCTCTGCAAGAAATCCTCGTGTAACATTACCGACCACCCGGAATCTGTTGAACGTTACTTTAGACAATGTACCTGTGCGCGCGTTGATCGATACCGGCGCGCATGTGTCCATAATGAGTGCTGCTCTTCGTCGCCGCGTAAAGAAAGTTGTCACACCCGCCTTGAACCGAGCCGTTCGAGTCGCCGACGGGGGAACTGCCGCGATTATTGGCATGTGCTCTGCCCGTGTGACTATCGCCGATAGAAGCACTGCTGTTCTTTTCACCGTTATAGAAAATTGTCCTCATGAAGTAATTCTAGGCATGGATTTTCTAATCGCTCACTCGGCCCTTATAGATTGTTCAGCCGGCTGTCTTGACCTTGAAATGCCTCTACTTTCCGATCTGACCAACCCACCCCAAAGTCGCCTTTGCTGCATTGATTTCGCACGCCTTCCGCCTAATTGTGTCACACATATCGACCTCTTCTCTACACCACCTGTACCTGACGGCGATTACATGGTGGCACCAATTCATGCCGTAACGCTTTCGCATGGCGTCGCTGTTCCGCACACCATTTTGACAATCGTTGAAAACCGCACATGTCTTCCTATTGTCAATTTTGCCCTCACTGCCCAAATTCTTCCACAAGGTATCTCCCTGGCCAAAATTACTGCTCTACAAGACTACGGTTGAACCCTTCAGAGTGGATGATTGCTGCACCTCAGACAATGAACCAACTCTAACACGTTCATCGGGCGTCGACGTTGACCACATGGTACCATCAGACCTCGCTCCTGATCAAGCGAAAGCCCTTCGTCACGTCCTGGAGTCCTATAGTGACATTTTCGACTTCGCCAGCACAGCTTTAAGCCGAACGAGTGTTGTTACTCATCGCATCAATACCGGTGACGGAGTCCCATTCACCGACGTCCATACCGTGTTTCCGCGTCCGAGCGCACAGTCATACAACAGGAAGTCGAAAAGATGCTTGCAAAAGACATAATCGAACCCTCTTGTAGCCCCTGGGCTTCTGCTGTCGTCCTGATCAGAAAGAAGGATGGAACATGGCGCTTTTGTGTAGATTATAGGCATCTCAACAAAATTACGAAGAAAGATGTTTATCCGTTGCCTAGAATCGACGATGCCTTAGACTGCCTTTACGGTGCTACGTATTTTTCCACTATCGACCTTCGATCTGGCTATTGGCAGATCGCTGTGGATGAGATGGACCGTGAGGAGACCGCATTCGTCACTCATGACGGGCTTTATCACTTCAAAGTTATGCCCTTTGGTCTCTGTAATGCGCCGGCCACATTCGAAAGAATGATGGACTCGTTTCTTCAAGGGTTTAAATGGTCAACCTGCTTATGTTGTTATTTAGACGACGTTATCGTTCAGTGCCGCTGTCTGTCTCCTTCTTTTTCTTGTCTCTCGTTTTTGGCGCTGTTTTTTATGTGAAGTTATTGTTTTCTCGCCCACATTCGACTCCCATCTCAAGCGTTTATCGGCGATTCTTCAAGTTTTTCGTCGAGCCGGACTTCAACTGAACTCGTCGAAATGCCACTTTGCTCGTCGTCAAATAACCGTACTTGGCCACATCGTCGATGCCGCAGGAGTCCGCCCGGATCCCGAGAAAATTCGCGCCGTCAAGGACTTTCCTGTTCCGAAGTCAACAAAGGACGTTAGCAGTTTTGTGGGCTTGTGCTCCTACTTTCGACGGTTTGTTAAGGACTTCGCCATCATTGCACGCCCACTCACAAACCTCCCGAAGAAGGACACCCCGTTTTTCTGGGGCGCTGATCAAGCTTCATCTTTTTCGCAGCTCCCGACGGTCCTTACAACACCGCCGATTTTAGCCCATTTCGATCCATCAGCTCCAACCGAGGTTCGCACTGACGCTAGTGGGCATGGCATCGGGGCAATGCTAATGCAACATCAACGCGGACATGACCGTGTTATAGCATATGCAAGCCGCCTGCTATCTACAGCCGAGCGCAACTATTCAATCACGGAACGTGAGTGTCTCGCTCTCGTGTGGGCAGTCGCCAAGTTTCGCCCATACTTATACGGGCGTCCATTCCGGGTAGTCACCGACCATCACGCGCTCTGCTGGCTGGCCTCACTCAAGGATCCCACAGGACGCCTCGCTCGTTGGTCTCTACGATTACAAGAATACACGTTCACCGTAACGTACAAAACAGGGCGGTCACACCAAGATGCTGATTGCTTATCACGCTACCCCATGGAAGAGGCTGCCCATACTGACACCTTTCCAGACCTTCTGTCTGTGACGCAGCTTCTCAACCTTGGGCACGAACAACGCCTGGATGCTTCCCTGCGAACCATCATTGGCAAACTTGAGTCAAGGCCTCGCGACGCATCTCTACAAATGTTCCTGGTAAAAGACGGCATCCTGTATCACCGTAACCTCGATCCATATGGCCATGACTTGCTCCCCGTCA